AAGCCGACTGTCATCCATCTCCTCGTCACCCCATTCCCGCCACCTGTCTTCTCCCTCCTGCCCCTGGGGAGACCACGGCTGCCATGCACACGTGGGTGATCTCGTGGTGCAGGGGTGTGTGTGATGTTTCCTTAGGTGTGCACGGAGCATCACACGCACTTCATCTTGCATGTGGCGCATGCACCCCGTGTCGGCGTTCACAGGTCTGTCGGGTCCTTTCAAAGCCCTGAGAGGTGTTCCGCCACGCACACCTGGCAGTCTCCTTTGGCAAGCGTTGTGCCTGCTCTGATGCTTGGTTCCTGGGGACAGCGTAGCCCTCAACATCACTGAACTTGAACGTGCCTCCCTGCAGCTCACGTGGGAGTGTGGGCCCAGGGTGGACACCAAGGCCTCGGCCCAGCGGGCTCTTGCAGGGATAAATGGGAGAATGTTCCGAGCGTGTGTGAAGTAGGGCCCACGGGGGGAGGACAGAGGGCTGTAGTTGGTGCCCCCACCTTTGCACCCTACACTGTCCTCAGCAATCTGTCTCTCTGACACTTAATCCCCCTTTTACAGAAGAGCACAATGGGAGCCAGTGGGGTTCAGCGAGGCGTCCGCTGTCCCTTGGGTCCAGCGGGTTCTGGGAATGCAGGGTCCCTGCCCTGGCTTGTTCTCATCAGGGCCAGCCTGCAGGGCACAGGCTCCCCAGGACCGGGCCAGGCTGCTCTGCAGGGCATGCTGGGAAGAGAGAGCTCTCCAGGAACTTCTGGGGCAGCTCCAGGGCAGGCTGCTCGGATGGAAGGGCTTCAGGGCGGCCAGGTTTGGCCTCCCAGCCTTCGCATCCCCAGCTGACCAGCCCCAGCCCTGCACACTCCCAGGACCTCTGAGTCCTGCAGGTTTTGTGGGTGCCAGGAGTTTCCTTTGAAACCCATGGCCCCAACGTCTGTCAGCTCTCAGAGCCCAGAAGGATTGACAGAGCTGCTGGGGCGGGCGGCGGGGACCACACTAAGCTCAGGAGCATGAAGTTGCAAAGACAAAGAGGAAAAACCCGACTGAACTCCAGCCCACTCCCAAAGCCCTGCTTTGATGTGGTTTCCCGTCCCTGAGGCCTTATAAGGCCTTGTGCCTGCGATTCTGGGCTAAGGGCTGGGGCTGGGGCTGGGGCTGGGGCTGGGGCTGGGGCGGCGCCCAGGGGAGCGGGCCTCTCTGCCTGGGGCCCGCATGGGGCGGAGGAGGCCATCGCTGGGATGTGGAAAGGAGGCCACCTAGCCCGACCCCCGGGCAGGGTGTGTGGGGGGTGAGGGGGCAGCTGGGCCTCAGGCTGGGTGAGGCAGGGATCTGGGGAACCAAGAGGCCTTTGATGAGAACTTGGAGCAGAGCCCGAGGCCTGGACGCCCGAGGAGAGGGGGCCTGGGACCCGGTGGGGAGGGGCTGTGGGTAAAGGGTTGGCTTCCTACAGGGCAGTGGTGAAGGGTGCGCGCTCTGGAGCCAGACAGCCCGCCTGTAGTCCTGGCTGTGACACCAGCCAAGTGACCTTGGGGACGTCCTTCGCCTTGGCGCCTGAGTTTTCTCATCTGTAAAGTGGGGATAGTAACAGTGCTGCCTTAAAGGGTTGCTGAGAGAACGAAATGCAAAGCACCGAGAGCTGCGTGCCAGGCTGGGGGCGTGCGTCCGGGTGTCTGTGGGGCACCTTGTGTCTGGCGAGCCTCTCAGTAGCGAACATGCTGGTGGCCGCCTGACAACAAGAGAAGACATAACAAACACTTGACCTCCTGTGGCTCACTTAACCCTCACAGGCACTCGAGACCTTGTCTGCGCTGTGTCCTATGCACACGTGGAGACAAGTCCCTTCACCCGGGTGGCCCGGCTCGAGCAAGGCGGAGCTGGGATTTGAATTGCGGTCTCAGCAGCCCCGGTTCCATGCCTGGCACCCCCGGCACCCCCTGCACGCTTGGCTCCCTGTGCAGCTCCTTGCTGTCAGGGGCCTGAGTGCCTTCCTGCAGGGCTCTGCCCAGTCCCACACCTGGTGGGGAAGGGCTGTGGGGACCCTTGAGACCCTCTGGACAGGTGGGATGACTTGGCCATGGACCCACAAGAGCCACTGGCCCGGCTGGTTTTCTATACTTTTTAAAGTGTGATCCTTGGTCCCGGGCAAGGGCCGGGGCTCTTGGCCACCTCTGTCCCCATGCCCGAAACCAGGAGCCCTGGTTTCACGGTACAGGTGTAGGCGGGGCGTTGGAGCCGGCGTGAATCGGGGCTCTGCGCCTCACTGGCTGGGGAGCCAGAGCCAGTCATCTGGCTTCCTGGAACCCCCTCCTCACCTCGGCACTGGGCTGGTGGGGGGCCTTTCTACGGAGGTTCCGGGGAGCGTCCCTGCGCGCTTGGTCAGTGACGGGAGTGGCTGTCATCAGCTTTATTTTCCTGTCTCATAGAGCCCTTGAGGGTTGAGAGCACTCTGTAGGAACAAACTTAAGAACAATTCTACCTGTCCCTTTACAATTTGCAAATCATTATTATGAACATTTATTCCTTGGGCTATGGAAAGAGCAGGCCATTGGGATGATTAAAGGACTTAATATAAGAAGGTGCCTGGCACCTAAGAAATGCACAGAAGTGCCAGCTGCCGGAGTATTGAAGTTGTGGTTGGTCACTGTGCCCATTTAATAGATAAGCAGACTGAGGTTCCGAGAAGGCAGGGGCCGGCCCCAGTCCAGGGCAGGAAGGCCATGGAGACAGGACCTGATCCTGAGTCTGGCTCAGGATCCCACGTAGCCTCTGGCCCAGCGAGTCAACCCTTGGAGGCCACAGACCATGTGCTGACACAGGACAGAGCGTGGCCTGGCAGGAAGGACCTGCCCTGGCGCCGGCCAGGACTCTGCTGTGACGTGTTTCAGAACTCGGTCCTCCCAGCAGAGTCTTCGCAGGGGACACGGAGGCCGCTGTCAGAGTGACGACTGTGGACACATCGTACACCCCGTGAGGCATTGTCATGGGGTCCCAGATGGCCGCTTTGTCGCTGGTGATGTCTGGGGTCTCTCAGCTCCTCCACGTGTGCTGGTAGAAAGGTGTGAAGACTCCAAAATCTTGATCTCAGAGATCCTGCTGGCAGCTGGCATTACTGGGGGCAGTCAGGGGAGGGGCCGAGGTCAGTTGCAGCCAAGGTCAGTGCCCAGCCCTGCCCGCTCTCCGGATGGTCTTGGCGTGCAGCACTCTGCGGTTCCCTTGAAGACAGACACCAGGTCCTGGGAGCAAGAACTGCCTACCAGTCCTTTGGTGGAGGTGGCATCCGTCTTGCTCTGCCATAAAACACCTGCTTTGATTCGCTGCTGGGGCCCCCCACCATCTCGTGGTGCCCCCTGAGCCCCTCCCTCGTCTCCCCGGCTCCCTGCAAACTCCGGCTCTGTTAGCACAAACAGCCAGTTTACAAGCCCAGGAAGTGTTCGGCTGCTGTGACAATGGGCAGAGGAGGGAGCAAAGCCATCCTGGCTCTGGAATCAGCTGGCCTGCTTTTGAAGTCCATGGGGCAGCAGGGGTCCGAGCGACCACCTTTTAACTGCCCTGAGAAAGAGCAAGGGCGGTGTCCCAGAATGACCGGAAAGAAGAAAGAAAGCAGAGAAGACCAGGCCTGACCCGTAAGACGTGAGCTCTTTATCTTTAAAACAAAGCAGGACGGGAGAGCCAACCCCAGCTGTGTCCGGTTGATGAGCTCCACTACACAAAGCACCGAAACATGTGTAATTCGATTTTTTATTTTTTGTTAATCAAGAAGAGACCTGGTTTTTCTTTGAAGCATCTGAAGTGCAGGGTTTTTTCTCCCCCTGAATTTTCAAGGAGAGGGCCTTTTTCTTTTCCTTTTCCATGTTTGTTTGTTTTTTTTCCAAAAGGGGAAGTTGGTGACAGCTGCTGAGTTGAGGCTTTTTTATCGCTTTTTATTTCATAGTTTGAGAAGCGCTGCCACCTCAGGAGAGAGAACTGGGCATCAGGAGAGAGAAAAACAGTGTGATCCCCTGAAACGCATCGCTCCCCCAAAAGGGGAACGGTTCTCCAAGTGGGTTCCTCGGAAGACAAACCCCACGCTGCGTCGGAGACATAAAACTCTGCGTCCCCTGAGGTTCCAGGAATGTGGCCTAAGCTGCCACATTGTTTGGGTGCTTGGTGTCCGTTGCCATAGTAAGCCTTACAGTGAGGGACCTCGTTTAACTTTGTTTAAAATAATCTTTTTTGATCGCAGAACTCTGCCTGGCAGAAAACCAATACATACAGAAGACGGTTTGACAAGTCTTAGCCTCTTGTCTGGAGTCGTCCTGCGGGGCTGGGGTCAGACAGAGGGGACCCTGGTGGACACCCCAGAACTTTCCCAGCCTGGGGACCAACCAGGCGTCGCCCACCAGCCTGGTGTGGCAGCCTGAACAGACGGGTGCGGGGGCGGGGGGGGCTGCCCTGCCCTCTGAGATACCAGACACCTTCCACTCATGTGAAGGGACCAGGCGGGGGGCGTGCAGGGATCGGGCCAGTTACTGGGGGTGGGCACATGGGGGAGATGCGGGAGGCGTGATTGAAGCCAGAGCACGGAGATGGAGGAGCCCACCCTAGAGCCCTCCAGCCGCTCTCTCTGCAGACCACCCCGACAGCCCTCCTGGGACCCTCTGCTGGGGAAGGGTGCACACCCAAGCAGGCTCGTGGGTCCGCTCAGAGGGATGGGTGAGGGACGTTGTCTAATCCCATCTTTGTCTGGGGGAGAGGGCGGACCTCTCTTTCTGGGGGAGAAGTGTGGTGCTTCGTGGTGGGCTGGTGGCTGAGAAAACGTACTTCCTGCAGAGCAGTGTGGCAGCGACTTTTCTAGGCTGACGGGCTCCGCCTCGGTTGGACTAAATTCCCGTCAGAACCATCAGAACGGGGGGCCCTGCTTCCTTGCCACCAGCCAGGCCCAGGTTCACGATGCCACCTTTTCCGTCCCAGTACCAGGCACCTAGCTGATTCCGATACGTCCTTAATGTCCCTGTCTTGTCTTCTTCCTCTAGGAGCTCGTGGGCGAGGTTTTCCGAGAGACACTCAGCGAGGAGGAAGAGGAAGACTTTCGCCTGGAAGGTACTGAAATCCATCACTTTCTTCCTAGAAGGGCGTGGAGCAGGGAAGGGGCCATCTGGTCTACCGCATGCCCCGAGTACTCTGCGGGAAATCTGTAGGCCAGGCGGAGGACAGGACTCTGGGTGGGGCTGAGGGGCAAGAGGGAAGTGTGGCTTCCACAGTCCAGGCCGAGTGGAGCCAGGCCACCCGGGCTCACATCCTGGTCCTGCTCCGTGTTAGCTGCGGGATTTGGGCAGGTAGTGTGTCCCCAGCTTTGCCACCAGGAGGTGGCCGTGGAGGCCCCTCACATAGGCTCGGGCATGAAGTCAGCGCTCCCCCAGGGAGCTGTGAGGTTTCCCAGCTCTCCCTTCGCTCAGTCACCCGGAGCACACGAGAGCGTGTGCTCACAGACCCCACCAGCCCTCACCTCCCTCCACGGAGCTGCCACGCCGCCTCTCTTTAAGGGGGAGCGCCGTGTTGTAGGAAGAATTAAGGTGCCGGGTGAGAGGGCCGGCCGCCGCTGCTGGCAGGCTCACTTGGCCCCGGGTCAGCCACGGGGCCTCTCCCGGCCTTTCTGTCCGCATCTATGGAGGGGGACGAGGTCCTTTGCCTGCATGGCTGCCTCAGGTGGTGCATGGAATGATGGCACCTGCCTGTGTTTGCTGAATAGGGTGGCCTTCCCACTTTCTGCTTGGGCTCAGAGGAGGGGACCACTGAATGGGGGCTGCCTGACCACAGTGTGGCCCCCTCTACTGGGGAGGGGCAGGCAGCTGTCAGGAGGGCTGGGGCCCAGGGGCCGCTGGGGAGAATCTCAGCCTTGGGGGTCCGGCGGGGCCTTGACAGGAGAGCAGCCAGTCCCAGCAGGCTCTGGAGGGGCACCTGGGCTGCCTGAGGGCCATGGCCATGCCTGGCCTGAGAGTTGTTGTAAAGGTAGAAACTCGGACCTGAGGAGTCCAGTCTCCCTCTCCTAGGTTCCTAGGTGATGTGTGTGCACACGGCCCCATGAGAAGCGCTGTTTTAGGAGAGTCTCTCAGCTGGGCAGGAGACAGGCAGGGGACCCGGTATCTGTCAGGTTTGCTCGTGTATGAGCAGGTTCTCAGTGAAGGAGGAGGAGTCCGCGGGCAGACGGCTTTGTCCAGGCTGTGGGGTGTTCTCTTCGACCCTGTCTGCCTGTGGAGCTGGTGGCCACACTTGGGTGCTCCCCCCAGCCCCAGTGGTCACCCTTGACCCCACAGACAGATGCCAGGACTTGGGGCCCCGGGAAGATCTGGGGAGTCAGGTAAAGGTCTGCAGGATGGAGCCCTGGGGTCCGAGCCGACCCCAGACGTGGGTCACCTGGAACCCAGCACTTACTGCGTTTGTCCATTCCTCTGCTCTTTCACGGGGCAGCCTCCCAGCGAGTTCCTTTTCCTGTTCGCCCATCTCTCTATCACCCATTTACTGTTCTGTCTGTCCACCCACCTGTCTGCCCAACGCCATCCCATCACCCACCCACCCATGAACCCCGACTGCCCCGTGCATGACCCCTCCAGCACCCACCCAGCCATCAGCCGGCCCTTCCCCGTCACCCAGCGCCCACAGTCCATCCCTCTGTCCGGATTTCATCCCTCCGCCTCTCCATCTTCTCTCTAGCTGTCCATCCTCTACTGAGTCCCGGGGCAATGTCCCAAGTGAGGCCCTCCTCCGTCCCTGAGGCTCAGCCTGAAATCATGGAGCTGACCTCAGAAGAGGTGTCTTCCCCCACCTCCCCCCACTGACACGCAGACAGGAAATGGCCTGCCCCCCCCCCCCGACGGGGAGGGTCACTGGGTTCTGTGTCTGCATTCAGGGCCCGAGCCCAGAAGTGGTCAAGCAGAAGGGACCCCGGCCTAGGAGCCCATCGACCTGGCTCCCTGCCAACCCCGGGCCCCTCCCCCTGCTGTGATGGGTGGGGGCACAGAGCTGGACTCGGTGGGTGCTCAGAGGAAGCGGGAGCCTTTTGGGGAGGATGGACCTTGGTGGGGTCGGTGCTTACCCACCTGGGCTGATGGATGAGGGGTGAATATGAGATGCCCCAGGGTCTGCGACAGGGAGTGGGCTTGGTGGCATCGGGCTGACCCCCTACCCCTCAGCTGCATGCCAGGCTCCCAGGCAGCCTGGGCGCCTTGCCAGTCACGGATACCGACGGGGGAGGGGTGGGGCGCCACCACCCGCCTCAGCCTCCCACTTGGGGGCTGGACCAGGTCGTGGTGGTCCAGTTGTCCAGCACCTTTTTCACACTGAAGCTTCCCGGGAGCACAAAATGTGGAGCAGTCAGGGCAGGCTGCGGAAAGATGCGGCGTGTTACAGACAGTGTGTGACCTCTCATGTCACAAAGACAGGACTCTGTATCTCCTTGTGTGTGTGTGTGCACACCACATACGTGTGTTAGTGTGGAGACAGACAGCAGTGTCCTGGACACGGGAGGAGGGGCCTAAAAGTGAAAAGACAGTCCCAGGGGACCGCAGCGTTACCTGTAATACCGTGCTGACTTTGACAAGAATGTATTCCTCGTGAAATGAAAGACTAACGACAGATTTAAAACTCGAAAACAGTAAGTAAATAAAGCAGCAAGAGTGGCTGCTCTGATTTGCACCCCACCCACCTGCCCGGGAGTGAGGCTGGGCTCAGTGACCTGCTGTGGCTCTCTGAGTGTCCACCTCAGGGTGGGGGATGTGGCTGTGACCCCCAGGCCACTGCGCTGCTAGGCCCATGAGCGCAGGTGCAGTGAATGCTGGCCTTTGGGATGCCTCCACCTGGCCGGGGGGTGGGGGGTGCTGGGGGCGCCCCTCTGTGCACTGGCCAAGGGAGAGCAAGCTCGAATCCTGAATCTCTTCTTTGTCTTCCTGTTGGCCAAGTTCATTGCCTCTTGGCGGGCTGGAGGGCTGTTTAAGGGAGGGGAAAAAAGGCCATCTGAGGCATGAAGATAAAAAGAAGTCTTTTAGCCGTCCCAGGAGAGGGCGGCTTTAGCTCCTGCGTTGTTAGGGAAAGCCGGCCCTAATCCAGCGTCTGAACCGCCTTAACCGGCCGGCTGGGAGCGTGCAGGCCGGGAGATTAAGGCCGGGCTTGGTGCTGGGCTGGGGCTGCTGGGCTGCTTTTGAACTGTGGTGAGAACAAAGTAAACACCCAAAGTCCCAAGCTCAGTGCTGGCTGGGCGTGGCAGGGGCACCCCGTGGCTGGGGTGGGGAGGTGGGGAGGGGACGCTCAGCCCTGCGCTTTACTCCGGCCAGGCAGAGTGTGGCTTGGGACCTGAGGTGACGGTTGGTGCCAGGCCTGTGTGGCAGACCTATGCCTCTCTGAGCTGTCTGGGGGTCTCCTCCTGACCCAGCTCAGGCGACAGCGACTGCTCTGCACCCCTCAGAAGGAAAATGGGTCCCCCCCTCTGCCAAGTGCTGCCTGCCCAGCCTCTTGGCTCGCTCCTGCCTCTGCCCACTACCCCCCACCCCCCTGCCTCCAGTGTCCCCAGAGTGCCTAGTTCTGGTCTTCCGACCTCTTTGCGTGGGGGTGAACACAGGCAGGGTATAGTCCACGTGATGTCTTCTGTAGAAAGCTGACTTCGTAAAACCCGAAGGAACCCTCAAAGCTACCAGTTAGGTGGCCCCTTTCTCTGGGGATCCAGCTAACCTGTCCTCTCCTCCCCACCTCGCAGGGTTGGGCCTGGCAGACAGAGCCTGCCGCGTCTCTGCTTCCCCGGCCCCTAAGGCAGCTGTGCCTGGGGCAGCTGGCCCTGCAGTGGGGCTGGGACTGAGACCTGGGGGCCTGTCCCAGAGTGCACAGGCCCCGAGCCCTGCTGCCCAGCACAGTCCCCCCTTTATACTGCCTGTCTGGGATCCGAGGGTCAGACCCCATTCCAGCTGGGCTTTCCTGCAACTCACTGTGTGACCTTGGGCGAGCCGCTCAACCTCTCTGTGCTTCAGTTTCCTCGTTGGGGACAGTCAGAGCACCTCTTCCCCTGGCGCTCCTGTGAAGACAGGTCATTTCCGTGCACCCAGAGAGCTGCCCTGGCCCAGAGAAAGTGCCCGGGGTATGTGAGCAGTCGTGATTTGTGCGGTTTCGGGGTCCACCTTCCTTGGCTGGGGCCAACCAGCAGTTATGACCCTTTACTTGTCCAGATCAAACAGCCTGTTTTCAAAGCGCCTCTAATCTTATTAGAGTCTCTCAACGTCTCCTACGCCCTGTGCGTGGCCCAGGGCCTGGCGTGCAGGGCGTGGTCAGTGAGTCCTCCTAGGAGAGTGACGTGAATCCCAGGAAGTCACTGAAGTCAGGTGACCCTCTCCCTCTGGCCCAGGGAGTGCCCGGCAGGCCCCGGCCGGTCTGTCCAGACGCCCAGGTGTGATGTCCAGGTGTAAGACGTCTGAGCTGAGGAGCCCTGGGGGGCCTTTCGTCCCCTTCATTTGTAGTTGGAGGGCTGAGGCCAGAGAGGGACACAACCTGGCCGAGGTCACCCAGCAGACTGAGAACGGAACTCAGGCCTCGAAGTCCTCCTCGTTTGGCGAGTGTTAACTGAGCCCTTGCTGCCGGGGCGGGGGTGGGGGGCCCTGCTGGGTGGGCCGTGGGTTCTCAGCCACGAGCAAGGTGGGTGTCGGTGCATTCAGGTGGCAGAAGCAGCTGGTAGGTGGGCAGAGCTGGGAGGGAGCGTGCAGGTGTCTGGTAGTGGCGTTCTGCAAAGGGGTAAAGCCCCGTGAAGGGTTGAATGGGACAAGGCCTCTCTGAGGAGGTGACATTTTAGCTGAGATGCAGATTCCAGGAAGACGCCCGTCATGGGCGGATGTGCAGGGGGAGCGAGCAAAACCCCGAGATGGAAGGGACTTGGGGTCCAGGGAGCACCAGAGAGGCAGAGGCCCATGGGGCAGGAAGTGACTCGGGGAAGCAGGTGGGGTGGCTGCTGGGGCGTTGGCCCTGCGTGGGAGCGCGGGGTTGGGAGGAGAAGGTAGGCCTCAGGGTGGAGAGGGGCGGGGGTGAGGGAGAGAACGGGGTCCTGGGTACACCTTAGAATTCGTGCT